TACAAAAGTCAACCACTTTCCTGTACACTAGCAATGAACAAATGAAGTTTGAAATTAAAGATACAGTGTCATTTATATTAGCATCCCCTGAAATGAAACACTTAGCCATAAAAATAACAGAATATGTATAAAATCTATATATATAAGGAAAACTACAAAACTCTGATGAATTAAATACAAAATTACTATACAAATGAAGAGACAGTCCATGTTCATGGCTAGGAAGACTCAGCATTGTCGATGTGTCAGCCATATCTGGGGACATTTCTGGTTATCACCCTCCCATCTAGTAGGCAGAGATGAGGCATGCTGCTAAGCATTCTACAAAGCATAGGACAGTATTCACAATGAAGGATAATTCAGCCCCAATATCAGTAGTGCCGAGGTTGAGGAACAAGCAGTAAATCAATGGAATGAAATTAAGCGTCCAGAACTCTCTACTCACATGGTCATTCAACTTTCTCGAAAGGTGAAGTAATTAAAATGAAGAAAATCATACTCTTTTCTATAAAAGGTACTGGGATAAATGGATATTATTATGGGGTAGGGAGAGAATAATTTTAACCCCCAAATTAATTTTAAAAACAGATCATATACTTAACCTAAGAATATATACAAAACTTCCTGAAGAAAATAAAGGAGAAAATTTTTGAGAGCTATGATTAAGCAAAGATTTCTGCGATATATTAAAAGCATGATCCATAAAAAATAACAAATGTGAATTCACCAACACTAAAAGGTTTTGTCTAAAGATACCATTAAGAAAATGAAAGGGGGCCAAGCACAGTGGCTCATGGCTACAATCCCAGCTACTTGGGCGGCAGAGATTGGGAAAATCACAGTTTGAATCCAGCTCTGGCAAAAATGTGAGACCCTACCTGAAAAATAACTAAAGCAAAGAAGGGCAGGAGGCATGGCTCATGTAATAAAACACCAGAATAGCAAGTGCAAGGTCATAAGTTCAAACTCTAATACCACCAAAAAAGAAAATGAAAAGGTAGAAACTATGATAAAATATTCATAATGCATACCAAGGACTTATATATAGAATCTGCAAAAAATCTTTCAATTATTTATGAAGATAGACAATATAATGAGGTAAATAAATTTCACAAAAAAATGACATATGAATGGAAAGGAACCACATGAAAAAGATGCTAACCATCAACAGTCATCCAATGCAATCAGATGAGTTCCATTCCACAAGCTACCCTGAAAACTGCTAAACTGGAAAAGATTACAGCACCAAGTTCTGGGAGGGCAAGTCAAAGAGAACTCTCATACACATGCAGTAACAATGTGATATGGAATGAAACTCTGGAAAACATTCTGGCAGTTGGTTATGAAGGTAATATACACTTACCATATGATCAAGCAATTTAGATAAAAAATAAAAATAATAAAAACATATGTTCTCCTGCACAGATTTTATGCAAATATTCATAGGAGCCCCAAATTTTAAGCAATCTAAATATTTAACAATAAGCAAATAAACAAACAAAATGTTACATACTCACACAACAGAATACTATTCAGCAATCAAAAGGTAAAAATTATTAATACTACAACTACATGAATCAACTTCAAAATAAACATTCTGAAACAAAGAAGCTAGACACAAAAGAATATAAAGTGCATCATCATTTTATACAAAATTGTAGAACACATGAAACAAAGCAATAGCAAGAGAATGTAGAATAGTGGTTACCTGGGGCCAGAGATTATTGTGAGGATAGGAGGAAGACTTTGGAGGGCCATGAGACAACTAGAATTAATGGAAATGTTCTGAGACTTGATTAGGATGGTACATGTATGGGTATGAATATTTCTCAATTAAAGGGTCCATTTATTATGATGTAGATCATACCAGAAAAGTTGAAAGGTCTGGGGGATACAGTGAAATACAAAATAAATACACCACCTAGCTCTCATGGAATTTGTTTTGTAGTACTCAATTCATATTAAGTACTTGTGACTAAGAAAAGACACTAGGAGTCCATATGCTAAAAATGTAAATTGGTTGCTAACAACTATTTTTTTAAAGGTTTTCTTTTTTATAAAGCTAAAGGGTAATATTATAATATAGAAAATTGATCTTTCTTGTTTGTTTTGGTAGCATTCCATCCACATTTTTAGTAACAATAGATTGTATGTAGCATACTCTACATATCTTTTGGAAAAATTCAGATTTTACAAACACTGATGGAAAGTATCTGAAATATAATTCATGAGTGCCACAATTAGAGGGTATGAAATATATTTAAAATTATGTATAAACATGTATCTATATATACATATATAACATATATTCATACAACTACCTGTTGTAAACCCCCATTACATGCACACACACACACACACACATGCACACACACGTTAATCAGTTCTAGCATTGCTGGGACCACAAACAACTTAAGAGAGGAAAGATTTATTTTGTCTACAATTTCAGAGGTTCCAGTGGGTTTCATGGTGGGGTGGGCAGGGCAAATCAGCTCACGTCATAGTGGACAGGAAACAGAGTGGAAAAAGAAGGAGTATTTTTGACAAGGCATCATTAAAAAAAAAAAAAAAAGACCAGCTCAGCAACTAATTTGAATAAAAAACACAATTCTCAAGCATCACAGGCAAGGGAAATTTCACAGTTCAGAAATTTAGGGACTTGAACAAATGACCACTTTACAACTTTAATTTATAAAAGAAAAAACAGACCTTTCAGCAACAGAACAACTAAGCTTAGCCTTGCAGCAAGTGTATTAGTCACACATGATTAGAAACTTAATGGACTTAAGTATCTGGAAACAAAGCCCAGTAAAGCTGACATGGATGGTATTTACCTTCATTTGTATCAAATGGTTTAGAAATGAGAGACTTTAGGGATTTCTTTTACTTAGATTTTATAAGATGAGGTTATCTCCAACCAAATAAAGATGGAGACAGACAAACAAGCATGAGGTAGAAGCATATAAATACATCAAATTCAGGAAGCAGTTCTCTAAAACAACTATCACTGTGCCTTTAACAAATGGAGCTGGCTACAATAAAATAGATAAAAATGCAAAAGAATCATTAATCTCATTTTAGACTATTTGCTACTGAAAATGACCCAAGGACCCCAAATTTTCTAGATAGTAAGCAGACTGAGAAATAATACAATTCCTAAAATTCATATTAAGTATAGCCAACAAACATCTAAAACATTAAAAACCTACAATACCAAAAGAAATAATTCATTAGAATCTTGTCCTGAAAACAAAAAGAATCATGGTCCATAAAGCAGCAAACCCGACCCCCAAGGCAGGCACTTCTTTTTAATCTGTCAGTGAGACTATGTGATTGCTACATACTAATGATAGCTCTTTGTCTTCATTTCTTCACCTTTCCTATTGGGAGTATTTACAGCAAATACCCTACCATTGTCTTACCAATAAATATATACCAGCTATGTTGGAAGTAAATGGTTTATATCTAAGTTTCTAGTTTTTATGGTGAAAGCAGACCATACTTGGACCTAATAATGTAGACACCACAGCACATCAATGCCCTACTACTATCCAGAGATCCTGGACTTGGAAGTATGAAGTCATAGAAGAATGGAGCTTTCAAGTTTTCTCCTATGATGGCAGGACAATGAATGTGCCTGTGAGAAGAAGACACTAAGTATCTGTTGACCAAAAGATCAGAATGTGGGGTTTGTGCTGTTCAACAAATATCTCCGGTTCTTTACCACTACGTGGCCCAATTATGATTAGGTAGGGCCCTGTGGGTATAAAATGGGATTGGAAATATTACTTCCAGCCCAGAGTATTTAATCACCAATAAGAAATCTAACAGGGCTCTCTTACTCTGCAATGGTAACATATGGAAGTTATACTCTTCCTATGGTTTCTAAGGATAAGGACAACATGAGACCCAATCCTAAGACAACCCTCAATATACATGCAGTATGAATAAAATGTAAACTTTTGCTTTCTGAATTCAGAGTGTTTAGGACATAATCTGTTTTTTCTTGGCTAATATATACCTTATGCTGCTTCAACATTCTATGATCTTAATTCTTTTCTATTATTTTCTAACCATTTATAAAGTTATATATTTACCCCTGATAGCCTGGTATTTCACCAACCAAAATACTGTAATTGTTACATCAAATTTATAAAATTCCCTGTGTATTACTTCTAAGCCATTTATTAAATCAACACCAAAAAGTATTTAACAGAATACTTTTCTGTTAAATCACAATCTTGAGGATGAGGCAGCATATTCAGAAACCTCCAATGAATTCTGTGCTAAATTTTATATGCTAAATTGTAATTAATTTTCTTCCCATCCTATAAAACAGACCATTTAACTAAAGATGATTTAGTTTTCATCTTCCAAGTTTTATATTATTGAAAAGTGTTGCAAAGAACTTCTTGCATACATTATTTACTATGATACCTCCATAAATTCTCTTCAATTGTTCGCTCAATGTGAAGCAGCTCATCATTTATTCCTTTTAATATATTAAATAAAAAAAGAAAGAAAAATTCAAATAGAAACTAATGCATATATGGAACAAAAAGTAGCTCCAAAATAAATGTTTTGTTACCCCAGTAATATGCTATATGTTTTTAGTTTTTACCTATCAATTAAAATTAATTTAGTAAACCTTTAAAACCAAATGTTATTTATAAATCTTAGGTCACTATAAGTCATCCAGATGCCAGGATATATTCAGTCATCTCTTAGCTTCTGTTAGTTGGTGACTATTATTATAACAAGGTAATTAAAATTAGCATAATCCTTCATTTGGGGAGATAAACATATTTTAGGGCTTTAGGACTTTAGTCCTAGTTTGAATCCATCATAACTTAGGCTCTGAGTTTACATAAGCATATTTTTTCTCCAAAATACACCAAGGAAAGTAAATGGCACGAAACTGAATAAACAGCTCTAGAGCGCTCCAGGGAGGGGAGTCAGAAGAAAAGTATAAATATATGATGGATGTGCACTTTTATTACCTGAGCATTTAGCAGCTCCTCACACTTATGTGCTTGCTTCTCAATTGCAGAGATGTACTGTTTCTCTATAGCTTCTACTTGGTGCTCAACTGAAGACTGCAGTAGCGCCTAAAAACAGGCAAAAAAAAAAATCATTTGGATCAGGACAAAACAGTCTACTATTGACATGAGAATTTTCTGACAGTTGCACACATCTGAAATATGACACTCTTGTGCATTACAAAACATACATTTGTAAACAGAGAAGCACATTTATACACAGCACAACTTAAGCTTTCAGTTGTAGGTTTTCC